AAATGCCAAGCCACACTGCGCACACACTAGCTTTCCAGCACAGACATGGGCAGTCTGCATCTTCTGCAAAATATGAGTATTAAATCAAACATAGCCTAAATGAACTCAGTTTACTCCATGTATTCCAGTGTTTTCCAGAAGTAACATAGCTTTTAATAATATGGTTTTTACGTGGAGGCACAGCAGCCTTGGACTTGTTACTCTGACATGGTTATAGGTGGCTATATGGTTCCTTCAAGGCATTCCAGTGACCGCCACCATGTTTTGGGGAAAGTCATCTGAACTACTGCCAATACAACAAAAGGCTCAGAGTGACTTGAATGATCCAGACCTAAAATCCCAGAAGAGTAATACAGAATATAAAACCAGTGAAATTTAAATTTTCTTTATTTAAATGGCTTTGCTTTCCATACCAAACTTGTTTGTTTCTCTAGCTCCTGAAGCAAGTCATGTTTTTTTTTAATTAAAAAAAAAATAATTCCCAATGCTACAACTGAAATTAAAGATTATATTAAAAAGAACTTTTAATCACTGAAACTAAACACAAAGAATTCAAATTATTCTATTTCAAATCCTCAGAAGTTGTTTACAAAGAGCTTTTGAACATGGAGAATCAACAGATAATTAATATGTAAACTGTATATGACTGAGACCAAAAAAATCCACAGAAATGTCCATGCTCCCAAGGCTCTTACTAGGTTTTCCCTGTTCTACATGTAAGAGAAGAAAAGAGATCATTTATCTGACAATTAAAATAATATTTTTACTGTATGGAGATACACACAACCATAAAAATATTGCAAGTTAAAGAAAACCATTCCTCATTTTCAATATGAAACAAAAATTACAGAAATCACTTAATGAAAAGTTAAATTTCAAACATAAATCTTGAAAAACATATAAGTGGCATTATGACTGCAGGTGCTGTTCAGCTCACTGATTTGTATCATATTGAAGACCATGCCATAGGGTTTTTTTCTCCTCTAGCTTCCCAATTTTTCCCCACTGTGCACCTCTATTTTTTCAAGTTGAATACATGTTTCAACCCTGCTCCCCTTAACCCAGATGCAATTTTCATTGATACAGTTTTTCCATTAGAAATGCTTTAGCCAGTTGTTAAATGGATATTAATTTTAGTGTGTCAGAAGCAGGGAGGGGGACAGCTCACCACTGGGCATCTGACAGCAAACCCCTGACCCCTACTGAAAAGCATCAAGTGCTCTTAGCCTGGATCCAGCACTCAGCACCCCCAAAACCAGGCTTTTATGCTGGAAGCAAAAGTCCTTACCTATAAGAAGAGGCTATTTCTGAGGTTACCTAGACTACAAGAGCACTCTGAAATCACTGAACAACACACAGAAATGATCCAGCCGTACAGCTCAGCAGTGGCTGAACATTTTTGGCATAGCATCTTGAGGTGTACAGGACTACTTTAATTAAAATATGGATTTAAAATGAAAAAAAAAAAAAACCTAGGTAATAGGCTTTGACTAGGTCTGAGTCATGCTTATTAGCATAACTGACCTTAACCAAAATTAATTAGAGCACCCGCAGAACAGAGGACACCCAAGCCTGAACAACAAGCCTGATGAACACACAGATACAAAAAAGCTTATTTTAACAATGGATTTCATTGTTCCAGTCAGATGTTGTTCTTAATGACATAGCTAATAAACGTACTACAGCTGAGATGTTCTGATGTGGTTGCTTAAGCTAAGCATCCAAACCCTCATGCTCTATCTACACTGCACAGATTTGTTAACATTGCTACCTGACAATCTCCCGTTCCACAATAATTTTTTATCAGCAAAACGTTATCCTTCCTACAGCATCAAACGTATCTATCATTCAGGGGGGTATTTCATTTATGTTTCTGCTGGCACATGAAATGGTTTCATGGCCTCCGAGGCACAAACCATTTCACAGACATCTTAAAAAGGAAGGGAAATGCTGAATGTGAAGGCTGCAGTTTACTCATATAGCTTTGTACACCCACTGCTTCTAGAAAGCAGGGATCCCTGTATTCAGGTGTCTGAAGAAGTGAACGTACCAGTACAGTTATCCAGATGTGCAAACTCTCACCCACTGAACATTTTAGCAAATGCACCAAAACTTTACTTAAAAGACACTGTTAATTATTGCATTACCTGGCCTTATACCTTCACCCTGTGCACTTTAGCGGTGGCCAGATTTTAAGCCTCCACAACACAGTATAGTACCACTGAGGCTGCAAGTGTTAACTAATTTACACACACCTTCTGGCTCTGTGCCTCTGCACATACATCAGATGGGCTCTAAGGTACATACACATCATTTATGGTGTTTCACAAGACATCTAGCAAAGTCAGCTTGGGTCCACGATGAGTAGTGCAAAGGTATGATAATACACAAAAGCAACATATAAGAAAATAAATAGTCTACAGTATCCTGTGGAAACTAAATTAACTTGAGAAGTAACCACTGCTTTTACGCCACTAAGCATCTCAGTTTAGGCATTACTTATTTTTGTATGAAGTATTAATGTACCTGGTATTCATCAGGTAAAATGCAATCCCCATTGTAGGTCACGAGGATGTTAATCTGAACAATAGCAGAGCATCTTTAAAAGCGGTTATGAGCAGGGAGCGCAGGTCAATAATTCTCTTCCGTTCTTGTATATCTCTTATTGGAGGCCATCTCAATGGACTACACCATCAGAGGTGCCACAGAGATGATTCAAAAAAAAAAAAAAAAGACAAAAAGATATAGCAGGGAAAAGAAAGTTGAATAAAAGCAATACTTTAATTAGAGGAGTGACATTTGGGGGGGGTTAAATGCCACTGTGCTGACAGAATGGAAAGGGTTACCCAGTTCAGAAAGAAAGGTACAAGAGGCCTGTGACAGGGGAGTAACAGAGCTAAGTGTAGCATCCACTGTACACGGTGCCCTAACAACTGGATTCATTTCCTTCAGTAGAAGGGGAGCCCAATAAATCCTCTCCTACAGCTCATCAAAGGTTAATTATACAAACACCCCTGGAGGACTCCCCCCACATGCTCCATGAAAGAAGTGCTGTGCAGACTCGGGGAGCCCCGACTGTCTCCTGCCTTCCCCTCACCACCCAAAGGGCTTCGTAGAGAGAGCTTCAAGGGATTCCATCCTTTCTTCCCGAGGCGTACTGGGACACAGGAAGGATCGTGTGTAACCGGACCCCGGTCTTCCTGCAGCTTGTCCCTGTCCCGACGCTGCTGGGCGGTGTCCAGAGAAGGATGAGGGAAACACAGTGAAGGCTTCTACCTCTGCCTCAGGGACAGGAGATCTGTACCCATGTCGGGGAGGGCAAACCTCACTTCGCAGACAGCCCTCCCTGCCGCGGGGTCTTAACATAAATACTTTTATTTCCTAAAAAGATGCCACCCGAGGAAAGGCAGATTCCCCAAATTCACCAAAATAACATTGAAAAAAGTTCTTTGCCACTTATTGTGACAAAGGAAAATAATAAACCAGCCTCAGAGGATCAAGAAGAAATGCTCACAATTCCCTGTAAATTGTTGCTCTAGTAACCTTAGTAAGTATAAGGCATATTTCTACAGGGAGCTCTTCTGAGAGGACACAGCTTTGTGACTCTTCCAGTGCACAGAATTAGGATAGAAGATATGTGAAATATAGGACAGCAAGCATAAGGGAGAGGATAGGATGGGAAAGGGCAGCACCAGTCCTAGCTTTGGCACTTTTGATTACTAGTAAAACCTGCAGCTGTGCTGCACCTCTGCTGCTGTGCAACAGGGGCATCCCGCTTCAACTCAGCGCTTAAGGAACAAAAGATGGACACAGGGAGCTCACTGACTGTACCGAGAAGGACTGTAGGAAAATTATTTGACACATACAAAATTTCCTTTGAATACTCCAGTTCCCAGGAAGACTTCAAATCAGTGGAAATTATGCTTTCCTCCTCCCCATTGTGGCTTTCCTTAAAAAAGTGTTCTTAGAAAGACCTCCAAAGAGGAGAGTCTTGGAAAGCCCACTGCTACCTTCAGAAAGGCAGAGCCTGACACCGTTCAGAAGCAGACTTTAGGAAGGGAACAGAACAAAACAGCCACTTCATTAATGAAAGCGAACAATGCAGCTAGGATTAGATTTGGTTTCCACCATCTCCAGCTGAAGCCAGGGCTCAGGCAGCAACACTGTGGAAAGGTCTCCCTGGCCCCTACTCCACCTCTAAATAGTGGGTGACGTTTTCGGGCAAAACCTCAAACTTGGATACAAATCATTCTTGAAACAACCCAATTGCATACATACAGTTAGGTGTCCGCATGAATAGATGAAATTATCCTGGAAACAGATGAAATGGATGTTCACTGACTGTGACTTTTTCTGAAGTATAGCACTGTTTGTCTGTTTAAAAACCTAATTCACCTGGGTTCACCAAGACGATTCTTGGCTTTGGGCGGCTTACAGCCATTACATACTTCTCAGTATATTAAGCATCAATGCGCTGAACACCGGTACCCATGATCATCCCTAGAGCCGAAATCCGCAATTTAGCTGCAATTTAAACAATTTGTTCACGCAAATAGAAGAGCCTTTCTACGTCCGCCAAGCTAGATTCTGCGTGCAAAGACAACTTATAAAAAGACAGGCGTACGTACAAAGGCGGTACGGAAGGGAGGAAAAGAACCGAAACAATCGAATCTCCGGTTTTTGTGTACCGACTGCCTCCGGAGGACGGCGAAGAGCCGCCTGTCCGCCCCGGGACGGCGGGGACAGCCAACAGGTGCTGCACCCGCGGCTTCTCCTCACGCACCGCCTGAGCTTCCAGGTTTTTTTTTTGGGGGGGGTTGTTTTTTTCCCTCCCCCCGATTTTTTTTTTTTTTTTTCCCGTCATTTTCTTTCCCCTTCCTCCCCGTGCCCAAGCCGCGGAGCCGCCCGGGTTCGCCGCCACAACTTTGGAGCGGGGAGGGGGGAAACACACGCCCCGCCGCCGCGGGACCACCCCCCCCCCCCCCCCCGTCCCGCCCTACCTGCGCGGCCATGAAGGAGAGATCCATGGTGCTGCCGGAGGTGCTGAGGCTGCCGCTACTCCTGCTGCCGGGGGCGGGCTGGGCGCGGGGGCGCGGCGCGGGCACCGCCTCCCCCAGCAGCGGCGGAGGGCGCGGCCGCGGCGGCAAGACCGGTACCGGTACCAGCTCCAGCTCCGGCGAGGCCCGGCCCGGCCCGGTGCGCTGCTCCGCCACGGGGCAGCGGCGGCGGCGGCGGCGACCCGGCTGGGCCCGGGCCCGCCTCCGCGGCGGCGCGCGGCTGAGGGGAGGGCGCGCGGCTGAGGGGAGGGCGCGCGGCTGAGGGGAGCCGCCCCCCCACCCTCCCCAGCTCCCCGGGCCGACATGGCCTCCGAGGGCCGGAGCGGGCCGAGCTTGAGCTTCAACAAAAGCTTTGTCCCTTCCCTGGGGCCAACGCGGGGCTGGAGCTGGCGTGAAAGAGCCCCCCAGCCCCCGCCTTGTGCAGGCCGAAGGAGGTCGCGGTAGCGGCCCCAGGTAGGGCCGTGCAGGTCGGGAGCCGCTGGTGGGCGAGTGCCGAAGAGCAAAGTGATAATTAACGCGCTAAGGAGCAGGTGTGGCTCATCTTTTGCAGGACCTTTGCATCGTGCCGACTCTCTGAGATGCATACCTGGCTGCTACACGCTTGCTTTTCTTGCCCAGCTTGCAAATCCATCAGACTCTTTTCGAAATACTCAACTGGCTCCTTCCCTCACCACAGCTGAAAAGAATTCCCGACAGCTTATTCTTATGCCTTTTCATGGCTTAGCTGTCCCAACTTTAGTTTCAACTTGTTTCTGCTCCTTGTTCGCAGAATTTACTGTTCAACAATTCACAATAGATGTATTTAGTCCCTTTTCTTATGCTTTGTCCCCCAAAGTGATACTGTTACCACTTCGAATGAAAACTCGGTGAATTCACTTATTGGGTGGTTCTGAAAAACCTTTGACTAGAAAAGAAGGATAATAAAAATGCAAGTTCTTATGCATTGAATGTTTCCTTTTCCTGTGCTTTTTATCACCCTTCTGCTCTGTACCTGTTGGTTTCATCTCAAAGGCTGAACTATTTGGCCATGTTTTTACCACTTCAGCCTATTACAGGGGCTGGTGGAAACGCAAGTGCGTGCCAAGAGCAGAAGTACCTGGAGAATCAGGTTTGCACTGCGTTTTCACGCTCTGGAAGAAAAAAAAAGAGTAGCTACTTCATCCTGCATCCTGTGAACTGGATGCTGTTTTGTCTGTATAACGTCGCACTGCTGCAGCAGGTGGTGGTGATATGAAAATCAGCTGTTTTAAATCACTCCTTTACTTGAGTGACTATTAGTGTGCCTGCCAAAAATGCTTTTATGTCGAGAGGCCCATTAAGTAAGACAAGTAAAATCCAAAAGAGGCAGTGTCATTTTAAGATTTTTAAATTCAGTTATGTAAATAATGGAATTGTCTCTCTGTGGACTCTCTCCCAAGTTTTGAAAGGCTATTGCGTGTGCCAGAAACCATAAAGTAAATTCAAACCAGTGTTAATCTTTTATCATCCAGATTAATTTTACATGCACTGGGTAGACATTTCTACAGGGTGAACGTAGCCTGGTCAGCTGCTGCATCTGCAACAACAGCTATAGTAAGGACCGTTTCGCGAGAATAACAAAATAATTCAAGCTTTGAAACCACAGTGACTTCCGTACTTGCTTAATTCTATGGAGCATGAGAACTGTAGAGAAACAGAGATGGAAAGGACCTCAGGAAACCTGCTTAACACACAACCAGTTACTCCTGTGACCTTCCAAATAGGGGTTTTACCTTTACTCAATCTCTTCTTGAAAGTGTCCAGTGAGGAAAGTTTCATTCCCTGCCAGGCAATGCATAGCTGCCGTTTCCTGAGGCTGTGTCCACCCGAGATATGGAGACTATTTTCTTTGGGGCAACAGCTTGCCATCTAAGAACTGCTCTTGGATAGTGTGTTTGTCTTTTTCCAGTCATATGGTACCGTGTCCAACCCCTGAAAGCACTCAGGGAGGATTACTGACGGTAACAAGATTGTTCAGCCAGGTTTCCAAGTATTTTACTGTGACATTCAACAAGTTCAGCCAACTAATTGTCTCCAAGTGATTCCTAGCTAAGATCTTTTTTTCTCACAGGTAATAGTAATCCAGGACACTTGCTCATAGTTGACCTTTTAGTGAACAATGGTGCATCATCACTCAGGCTATCTTGGCATCAAATTTTATTAAATTTCCACTGAGAAACAGAGCAGCATTTTTATTGATCTATTAATATACTTCTGGAAAATTTTCTTTTTATCCTTGGTATCTCAAAAATTGATTTCTTTCTATTTGTCTCCTGTAGTTGCTCACTTCAGGAATACCCTGCAGACCAATTTTAGGGGAAAAAATAAATGTGAACTGCTCAAGTTTCAAGTTCTTTATTTCCACACTGACTTCTTGAACAACTATTTTTCTGTAAAGATTGGATTTAGCAGAAGCATTGTTTAATACATTGGACAGTGAATTCAGCTACTTTCAGTTCCTATGACACAAAAATACATAGCTGCATTCCATCTTTGTTTATGATGTTTCAATAATGTGGAAAATTGCTGACTTGTCTATGTATATAAATTCCTACTAGTCTAGAGAAAGAGGTGTTCCTTACATACAGTGCCAGTGGGAAGTAGTACCCATCGTATTTTGAAGATGCCGCACATTTATCAGTAGTACAGAAAGTGGTTATATTTGTTAAGCACTCCGGAAGTTTGATTTAGGGGGTAGACAGTAGAGGAAAAATGAAAGAACTGTTGCGTATGCCACCTGTCCTGCTTGTGTGTTCTGACCATGAGCATCCAGAGGGTCTGGATGCCTTTGGGTGCCACTATCTCAGCTGGAAATTTGGCTGAGTTATCTTGGGGGATAGTGCCAGTCAAAACCAGTCTCTACAGAAATACTTGTAAAGAAACTGCCCCTTTACCTGGTAGAACTTTGTAATCTTCTTCCCTACTTTGAGGAGTGTTAGGTTCATTGGAACAGCATTTCTATTTGCAAGAGCCATCCAAACCATTATCAAATTTTTTTCTAGAAAGATTTTTTTTATCACCTGAATTAATAATTGCTGCAATGTGCTTAATATCCAAGCTATTAATTTACCATGAATATTTCTGGAGCTTGACAAAGGAAAAAATAACTCTTCAGTTTTCACCTTTGCTCGCTCTCTAGTTTACTGCCTTGTTTGTGGAACAGCACAGTTTTATACTGTTCAAGCTGCAAATAACTTATGAAGAAAAACAAAATATTAGTATTCCAAGCTGTTACTATAATACTACAAAATACAAAGCTTTGCTTCTCCCTCTTCCCCCAAAATACATTTTGTACGTAAATTGCTTTATAGTAGTTCTGTCAGTTCTTCTGTAAAACAAGTATTTTAGACTTTGTTCTGTCTTCCAGTAACGATGATGTAGAGTTTGAATTGAGATCTAGTAGCTGGCTTACCAGCTTTATGGTATGGCGTTCTCATCAAAATATCTAGACCACTTTAAAAGATTATGTCATAGTTTGCTATTGCTATGGACAGACATTGTAGCACCCAGCTAAAACTGCAAACACAGTTGTATAACATTATTCTTAAAAAGAAGCTATGATAGCCTAAGATGATCTTTAATTAGCTTTAAAGCTGATGGCTAAAAAGACCACATTTTGCAGTACAGTGGAACACCACTCATTCAGAGAATAGTTTGGTTTGTCAGTTTTCCTGGGGCATAGTAGGAAATTCTTTGTTGCACTGCATGCGTCCATAAGCTCTGCCTTTGCTTCACAAAACAGACCTAACAAAACATGACAATTGAGTCTTGCTACCAAAAGGGATTTTAAATGGGCAGGAATCTGTACAGCCCTACTTACCATATGCTGTATTTACATACCTTAGGCAATACAGTACCAATTCTAACTTTGCATCCCTGATACTACATTTAAATCTTACATGTAAGCAAAGGGGGACTAACTTCACTTTTTGGGGAGAGATGGAAATGTTGTCTTCATGTGAGGAGATGTAAGTCTCTACATAAGGAAGAAAGAACTTGGAGGACTCAGCTTGTAGCCCAGTGTTTCAGGCAGTCCTGTGCAAGGAAAGCAGTCTGGAGCCCACACCCCACTGGCAGGAGAGCTGGCCTTTACGTTAGGTGGTCTTGGGATGAGAAGCACGGAACTGACTGCTGGAGGAGGCTCAGGCACTGCACTACTGGCTGTCCAGCCAGGTATCTATACCTAATGCACTGTAAGTTCATATTTTTTCTTCCTTTACAATAGTAAATGAGATTTTAATAGCAAACTTCAATTTTTACACTGTAATGTTTGTAAAGTGCCACATCAACATATTTTCATCATTCAGAATTGGTCAGAATAATGCTGGTTTCTTTGTTTTGTTTTGGTTTGGTTTTTTTTTTTTTTTTTTTTTTCCCACAGTGGAATGTGTCTGGCTGTATCAGCGATGGAAGTTTGGAGGTCAGATCTACACCTACAACTCTAGTGCTTGACCAACAAAAACGTCTTTGTAAATCAAGGCTGCAGCATCCTCACTGACCTTTCAATGTATCCCAGTAATCACAAGAGGGAGCAACATTGCCCAGCAAATTTGGTGTGGATTACATCCTTTTTTATCCCTCTAAACTTCCAATATCAGCAACTGTTACATACTGAAGGGCTCACTCATACATAACACGATAAAATGAGTTAGTGCCAAGTAATTTGAAGGAAAATTAAGTTTGTAACTTTCTGTGTGACTCCTGAATCCCTGCAGTTGCTCACACAAGCATAGTAATAGTCAGATGTTACCCTGAAATTACCTGTGGGCAAAATATTCCTCCCAAAAGAGTTTTAGATTTAAAACTCTCCTGAAAACAGTATCATTAGCACACAGATGAGATGTAATAGAGCTCAAATTCTTAATGTTTCAGGTCTTTTGCTTAATGTAGAGTTTAATTCTAATGGGCAAGAACGCTTCTGAAGTTCAAGAAGCTTCTTGTACTGCTGGCACTGCAGCTTTACAAGCAAACAATCCAAATCGCTTTGACACAGGGGACAAATGCAGAAATAGCTGAATGCAGAAACAAGAAAAACCATTACCTTCTACTTCACTCCTCATCTCCACCGAGGGAAGAACGGGTGCTCAGCCCTGTAGGAGTCAGCACTCTCCAGGGAGCCCCAGCCAGCTCCTTGGCTGCTGTAAATTGACATTTTTTTGTCTCAA